CACACACACACACACACACACACACACATATATATATATGCATTATTTACCATTGTTAATCCTTTATTTAGCTATAACTATTATTATTTTTATTTTATACATAATACTCTAAATTTAACTAAGTTTAACTTAATTTTTATTATAACATTTCATTTCATCATCCTGTGTCCTTCCAATAGTAGTGCAGTCCTATATCTCTTGCCATTTGTGGTATTTGTATTCTAATTGTTTTCTTGATAAGTCTTATGTGGACTTCTCTTGGAACCTTGTTGTTCATTGCATATCTTGTAAAGACTTAAAACCCTCCATTTGTTCCTTCCATCCCCTTGCCTTTAGTTATCACCGATTCTTCTGCCAGAATTTCTCTCATTGTTTCTGCCAGATTTGCTTCCTTTTCTTCTTCCATGTTTTGAAGTTTCAGTTAGAGTCCCAGTTCGTTAAACTCTCCTTTCAACATTCCAACACTCTTGTTGTTCCCAACCACACTCGATTTGCCATCAATATGAACAATTTTCTGATCACTTTGTTCATATTTTTCTTCAATTTTTTGAAAGCTATCCTCAAATTTCATCATTGTTTTGTAAATATTCTCAACTCTTCCCTCTATTTTTAGTGTTTTTGTTCTATGTTCTCCATTTTCTTTTCAATGTTTTCTGTACAAATCTTTTTGAATTTCTAACATAATGATTTGCAACATTAATTCTTTTTCTTCTTCATGTTGCACAATTCTTCCAGGTTATAAACACTGCCACTAAAACATCCAAGGCTTTTTTGTTAAGTTTCAAACAAGTTCACTATAATATTTCAAGTCAAGGCTTTCTCTTCACTCCAGTCCAGCTATTAGTACTCCAGAAGAGCACCTGCATAAACAAGCTGTACTCTTCCCACTATCCCTTTCAATAAACAAAATCAAGAGCCTTGAAATGTAAGATATGAGTCAGATGTTCAAAGAAAGTAAGGAAAAAAACAATGTTTCCAAGCCTCCAGCTCTAGGTGGCAGTGTTACTTCTTTTCACTCTGCTTTTACCCTTCTCTTTAAATTCCGAACTTAAAAAAAAAGTGCTTAAAAGCAAATAATCCAGCCAAGCGTTGAAAAAAGAAGAAAAAGAAAATCATAATCCACCAATATGAAAAAAGAAGAAAAATAAGAGGGAAAAAAGAAACCAGTCCAATTTAAAAAGTAAGAGGCATTTGTAAAAATTCCATCCATAAAAATAAAGATAAAAAAAGATAACACTAAGTTTAATTCAGGCTTAATTTGCCGCTTACTCTCTTCTGTCTTCAATTTTAATTTTACTCCAAGTCTTTTGGGGTGTTCTCTAATAGTAAAATTTATCTCACCATTTCTACACACTCTGTCCCCTGCTTTTCTTCTGTTCAGGGGCTGTCCCAACCTTCTACAGCTTCAATGGCTGCTTCTCTTTCACCGGAAAAAAGACCTTCTCCTGGATCAATCAGGGACTTTGCGATGTCCCTGAGATCAGCAGGACGTACCCTTCTCTGTCACCATCTTTATGGGACGGTTTAGGTCCAAAAGGACCGTCCAGCAGCAGAGATATTGACAGCAATCCTGGAGTTCCAAGATTGCATGTCGTGTCATTGTGATGTCAAGCCCCGCCCTTCACATGTTCCTTCTTGTAGCAGTTTCAAATCGGAACAATTCTCTTTATGTTTTTTTCCCCTCCTAATATGTTTTACTTAGGTTTCCCAATTTTTAACCTTCTTATTTCATTATCCTTTACATATCTATTGTCAGCGTTCCAAGTATCATGCAGAATTAAATCA